ATGGATGTATGTTTTTCTTCCCTTGTAACAAATGTTGAGGAATTAAATAAAGTGTTGATTTGTTTGAAAAAAAAAAAAAATATAACCATTCAAGGTGGAGTGATCTCTACCGATCAATCGATTCTTTATTTTAATTGTTATTTCCTTAGTGAGAAATTCCTCCTAACAAAATCTCAAATTTTAGGGTTTTTATTTTCTTTTATTATCATCCCTTAAGCCTTCGTTTTCCTTGAGGAGACAACCTCAGTCTGTTTAGCATCCTTCCGTTGGATTGAATCTGCTTCGACTGAGTTACAAAAATGATATCATTTCCAACACTTGGTAATTCCTCGATAAATTAATCAACTCTAAGAGACAAGCATTCTACCTTTATCAAATTTTCCCGAAGTGTTTATAGAGACCCATGAAACCATAGATCAGCAAGTATATGGTGGTTTCTACTGGCTTTTAAGTATAAAATCAAGTAAAAACTTGGGTGTCTAGTAGATCTTCTCTCGCGATTATACACGCGGGATGCTAGACACAACCTAGAGGGGGGATGAATAGGTTAATTGAAATTATGGCTCAAACAAATAGCAATTTTAACATAATCTACCACAATTACCAAATTCAAAGATTGATTTGTCAATGAAGTGCTTGAACCTTTTTTCAACAACCCATATTCCCGTTATGTGAAGTGATGTAGAGATATTTTCAATTCATTAATTAACAGTCTAATTCACCATGACTATGATCCCACCCAAAACCAATTGATTACAAAACCCTTTTTGAATGAATTAAAAGACAAGTAATCATTCATTCAAACACATGGTGCACATGTGTGCAATTGCAAGTGTATATGCAAAATTAAACCAATAAGGGACACAAAAAAAAATTTATGCAGAAACCCACTCGAGAAAAATTGTAAAACCACTTGGGGTGCACCTAGCCTAATCCATTATCTCAAGGTCAATTAAGAAGTACTACAGACTTATATCTCAACCAATACCATGGTTAGATATTCTTTTACTATAGTAAATATGTCCTTTGAATTCTCCTACCAGAGTTATAAGCAGCTTCTACTTAATTCCTCCATTACAATGGATTGTTTAGACTCTTCCAGCAACCTTCTCCACTATGATCCTCGGGATGCACACTCTTTCAATAGGTTTTGTAACTCCAAGTAAGAACTTCTTCTTCAAGGTGTGAGCTTGAATTGGATAGTCAAGATGGATGGCCTTTAGTCTTAGGCATCTAGGGTTTATCTATGATCACTTAAGGTTTAGGAGGCAAGAAATAAACACACAAAAGAGATACCCCAGATTTATAAGGCTTCCCTTATTTATAAGCTCAGAATCAGGTTAATCTTGAGGTCCAAGTAAACCAAAATTTGTGAATGACTGCTTAAGTAGTGGGAGATCGATGAGACGACGGTTGGCACTGGAATGAAAAAATAATGCAACCCATATTTGTGGAGTATATACCACTCGAGCCGTTAGTGGACTACTCGAGTGGATTGTGACGGCCAAATGCCCAACTTGGTAGCCCCCTCCAACTCCCTAAGTGTTCGACACCATTATAGTCGAAGGCAAGCAGGCAAAGGGTAATCCTTACTAGTTTTAAGACAAAAACTAGTCCACTTGAGCAATAAATGGTGTTTCTCAAGTAGGACCAATAAATAATTAAATCTATATTTTTCAAAACACATTTAAAGTTTATAAAAAAAATGTCAATGAAAAACTCTATGAGTCATTTATTTTCAATTCCATTCTCATAATCTCAATCATTCTAAATCTAACCTAAGGTTGAAGGTGCATCAGAGAACACATAATAATATTTTGTAACTTGAATTCCTCCCTTACTTGATGCTTACAGATACTGATCTTTGAAGCACCATGACCATGAAATTAGATTGAAATTTACACAAGATTTCATGAAAATTAGCCAATTATAAACATATTTCTAACAAAGCGGTATTGGCCAACCAGGATCTATTGCATGACAATCTATGTTCCCAAAATAATATTTGATGTTTCAAAAATATTTTCAATAAAAATTCTAAGAGACATGTACAGAATCACCCTAAATCCATTTTATAACCTATGTAGCCAAAATAAAAATATCAAGGGTAATTTAACGTCTCTAGATCATTACCTTTCTCATGCTTTGAAGGATCTTGGAAAATTTTCATAATGCAACTTTGTGGCTTAGACTTTTTCCTTTTTCTAGCTTTTAATATCTTTATCTTTGTGATTTATCACACAGAGATCTCACACACCTCACCTTAGGAGTACTCATGCTTTCTCTCTCCCATTTACTAATTTACCAATAATGTTCTACGTCCACCGTCGCTGCCTTTAAAGTGGAGTAGGTCACTCTACCCGAACTATTCTATATATGTGTTACTTGTGTTGATCTCATTATTTTATATTTACTATATTTTTTACTTATATTAATTAATTGATAGATGGAACATATAAATTAATTTTTGTATATCATTAACTTGAAGCAGTATGAAACCACCATCGGCAAATGAGTTGGTAAGCCTAAGCCAGGTGATGATTCTTATGAGACCCCACCTTTATTCCTTTTCTTTGGTGATCAAAGTGGTAGATTTCTTCGGATAAAAGCCCAAGTATGAAGCAAAGGAGTGGGTCAGCACTCTAACTGACGTCTTCTTTGCTGCAGTCCTATGATCGGCCTTGTTGGGGCGGGTAGGAATATGTGAGTTGGAATAAAGTTTTGAGCATAAAAATGTCAGATGAATTGATGTTTCCTAATAGGGTTCTCCACTCGCGAATCAAAAGATTATTTAAATTTAAATTTATATTTTTAAAGTTTAAAAATATTAATTTATACCCTTAAAGATATAAATTCATATTAATATGTATATGAGGTTAACTCCGTTTATTTTACCATTAAAAAAGTTTAAAATAATTATAAATTGTACCTTTCAAAATTTAAATATTTCATATTTATGATTCAAAAAAAATTACATTCATTAATGCTCATTAAATAGTTATTAATTGTATCGTATCATGATATTTTCATGTCGTATTCGAGTCAATAAAAAAATATTTTCAAAATTTTTTTAAAAAATTATGAAATATTTATTTTTTACATGCAATACTCGTTAAATAGTTATTTTCTAACTACAATTAGATCTTTTGTTTGTCTGATCAAATTAAAGTTAAATACGAATAACACAGCTGTAAAAAGAAAATAGTTATTTAACGAATATTATAGATAAAAAAATAAATATTTTTTAATATAAAAATATTATATGAATTGTCGTAAATGTGAAATATATGATACAACATAATTAAGTTAATATGAAAATATTTTTTGTATGAAAAATATTTTTTTATTGACTCTAATACGACAAGAAAATGTTATGACACGATAAAATTGAGAGCTATTTGACGAAGATTAATTGATGGAATTTTTTTAGAACATAAATGTAAAATATTTAAACTTTGAAGGGTGTAATTTATAATTAATTCAAAAATTTTTAATGGCAAAATATATGGCGGTTAGTCTCAGTCGTATTTATATCTTTTAGAGTGTAATTTGATATTTTTAATGTTTGAGAATGTACATTAAGATTTAGGTGATCTTTTCGAGCTGAGTTGAGATTAACTCTTCCTAAAATTACCTAAGATTCGAGGGAGTGGTGAGTGGTATTGTTTACGATATTATGATTAATGATTGTTTTCTTGAAATGGAGAGTTGAGTATTTCTTGTCCTTTAGTTTACTAAATTGGGTACTCATTGTTTTATATTTTTTCAAGTTTAAGAGTTAATGATAAATTCATATTTATATAAATAAGCAGTTTACAATTCAAATTTCAAAAAATAAACAAAATAACTTTTACTATACACGGTTGAGATCGCTTTAAATTTTACTGTAAAGTTAATTTAACGGCTAATATCAACATCCTAAATTTAATAAAAAAAATAAACTTTTAAGGATGTGTTTGAAGTGACTTTTTAAAAGTACTTTTAGAAATTATTTCTCATAAATATATTTTTTTTAAAATAATGTTTGAAATCGTCTTACCACTACCTCTACCACCATCGCTTCCACCGTCGCCGTCGTCACTACCACCACTACCATTGCCACCACCGTCACCATCACCCACCACGGCCATCACAATTGTTGCCGCCACCCCCACCTCACCACCATCCCTACCCCAACCACCACCATCGCCTTCGCCACCACCCCCAACCCCCCACCCCTACCTTTGTCACCTACCACAACCATTACCATCTCCTACCACCCCCACCACTGTTGTCCACCACCTTTCACATCCACTACAAATCGATACTTAAATTATTTTATCTATTCTCTATGGTTGTAATTTGATGTTGGATATGAATACAAATATATATATTATTTGTAATTTTTTATTAATATGTACCTTCAGGCATACACAATAACTAGTACCTCAATATGTGGACTTAATTTTTATTGACATAATTTATCATTACCAATAATTTGATAACAAGTCATTAATAAAATTGAATTTTATAGTCAATCCAAGAATAATAATTCATTAAAGTAATACATTAGGTTAATAGATTTGGTGCAAAATGTACGAGAACTGCATAACCTCCCCAAACAACCCTTCACAAGCCACGTGGCAAAAACCTCGAAGTCTACCAGAGGTGTGTGCCCTATAGTGCTTCACATTCGCAGTTATAAGCACTTGCTCTTCCGACAATCCAAATTGCAACCCAATCCCTCAATTCACCTTCTGCTCCATTTTCTCACTTGGTTCACCCAAAACCAAATAATGTAAAGCCCACTTCAGAAAATCCTCAATTTAACACCTCCTGGACGGTTCACTATTTATTGATCCCAACCCCATCCATTCAAACAACTTTATTTATGAGATAGATATCAAATCAAAGCCTCTACAGAAAAAGATCAAAATTGATCTCAACCAAACATTCTTTCCCAAATTTCCTCTCAACTTTCCTCTAAAATAGAGCAGAAATATACACATCTGACGGAAAAGATGTCGGCAACTGCTAGTGGGGTTCTCTTGTCTCTCTTGCTCGTGTTGTTCTTTAGTCTCAATGATGTGAAATTTGCCCAAGTGAGTTTCTCACTCTCCCCTCTACAAACCCTCTTGGGATTCACAGATCCCTTAAATTTTCTTGCCTAACTGGCTGTGATTCACTGACCTAGTCCTATTTTCTATTGATTTTGCAGGCAAATGGGTTGGCCTCAGAAAACGGCACCGTCGAGGCGGCGGAGGCAGAAATGATGCCGTTGGTGGAGCCGGGAAAGGCGGAGATGGTAGCTATACTGAATGACAGTAGGAGGCGGCTTGGGAGCTTCCAGATTTGTGCATTGTGCACTTGCTGTGGTGGGCCCAATCGATACTGCTTGCCTTCTCCTTGTTGCTATGCCATCAACTGCAACATACCCAATAGGCCCTTTGGCTTCTGTTCTTTCACTCCCAAGACATGTAATTGCTTTGGATGCCATCTCTGAGTTCAATTCTCTCTATTCTTCTATGATCTCTCTATAAGTTACTTTGATAATGGGGGTTCTTCATTCTGCTTGGGAGTGTCAAAAGGAAGAATATCTGTTCTAGTTCTACTTGTTTATAGTTATTTGGGGACAGCTGTTTCCAGCCAAGTTTTTGCTACTTCTACAGTGTTTTGCATGCCACTAATGGACTGTGATTTTAATATTTCTGTAAGTAACAAAAACTTGCCTGGAAGAAGCCGCAGAATCATTTTTAGCACTGCATGGGTGATATATAGTGTGTGACGGGGAACATTTGTCTCCCTTAATGAAGCTAGTGAGTTTATATTTTATATTATAGTTTTCTTCTTTAGCATATTTTAATGTTGTTTAGGAGGGATGCGGATTTTGATATCTATGACTGGCACTAAAATATGATATTAGTCTTATTGATGGATTGTTAATAATGGTGGGTTTTATTGAGATTAGAATGCATACGAAAGATTTTATGCTGAATGTGGGTCTTATTATTTGCATTGGTATTTTGCTGCTGCTTCAATGACAAGCCGTTTAACAAAATGAAAACGAGTATTTTCTTTCTAATTTGTATGACGTATTGTATAAGTCTTGGGGAATTAAAGGTCGTTTTACCTGAGTTTGTTAGCATGTGAATTAAGTTTATATTTCATTTATGGGGTGATGGATTTGGTTGGGGGAGAAGGAAATTCCAGTCGTATGTTTATGCAGGACAAACCGAATGTCCAGATATTAGTATACTTCATACGAATTAGGAATCACATTACCCGAACACGAACGGTGCGACTCAATTTCCACATGTAGTGATTTGATCCGGATCTTCCTTTGGTTATGGCAACTCAAATGGGTGTTACGGGGAATATACAATCTTGGGACTTTAATGAAAAAGATAAAAGTTATGGAAACAGTATAATTTTGGGTAAAATATACGCATCCAATTCTAATGGTCCGTATGGCAAAGTGGAAATACAAAATACAACTGGAAGAATAGAAAGTGAGAGTAATATATTTTTTATTCTTCAAAAGAGAAATTTTTCATTCTCTCATCTGTTTTAGGTAAGAGGGATAAAAATTAGGAAGAATTGTTTTTTTTTTTGTTTTTGTTTGATACGATTGAATTTTTATTTTATTTTAGTAAAAATATAAATACATTTTATTATTATATTTATATATAAAATTAATGTATGCATAATATGTAATTGATAAATATAATATACATATATATTAAATGATATATGGACGAATAAAATACATTTTAACACACATAATTAATTTTTTATCTATTTTTTGTCTCAATTTTAGAGAGATAGATTTTAATTAGTTGAAAAGAAAGTTTATCTATCTATTTTTTTCATATTTTTTATTTTTTTTACAAAATATGATATTTTATCTATCTATTTACCTTTCTATCCTTCTATTTGTTCATCGTACCAAATAAAACATGAAAGTCCTCTGTTGATCTTGCTCGATTGGTTCCCAAACTTATGAGAGAGAGAGAGAGAGAGAGTAAATAGATGGGTTCATATATGCATGCGATGGGTGTAGCCAACTCAACTAAGGTTGTTGGCAGTTGGGTATGGCCAATTAAACCTGCCTACCATTTCCTACAATAATAATGTGCTGATGTGAGATGGTTCCGTATTTTTTTTGTTACTGTTTAATGCTATTACTTGGGAGAAGATTGATGAAGTTGGAACTCGTCTTCATATCATCAGATCAACTGCTTTTTTTTGTTTTGTGTTTTGTTGGGGGAGGGGGGGGGGGGGGGGGACTAAGGGGTAATGATTATTTGGAGTTCTATGTTCGAAGTACTTTACTACAACCTTTTTTTTTCAGGGAAAAAAAATGGGATATCGTTAATCAGGAAACAATTAAATCTCCTTTGAGGGAAAATCAAAACGACAATATCTCATCCTCTCTCTACTACTATGATTATTACAATTAATTGCAAATTCAACTAAGCTGTTAGTTGCTAAATTGCCTTCTCCACGAAACCAGGAAATGGAAAAACCCGTGAACCTTTAGAGTGAATTATGTTTACAAATTTTAAATTTTTTGACATATCTATTATGATCATGTTTGTAAGTGATTAATTTCGATAATTTATTTTATAAATTTTAATTTATTTTATAAATTTTAATTTATTTAATGGTCATGATGCTACAAAGTTGTAGGTTCGAAAATGTCAATGGTAGGGAGAAGAATGTGCTTTAAGTTATATGAGGAGACTTTCTATATGCAACTTCTTATTTAAGGCAAAAGTAATAACCTTGGTTTAATTTATTAGACTTAAGTTCACTAAATAAAATGAGACTTGTAGGTGTTTATTAAAGTAAAGTTTTTAAAACGTTAATAGTGTTTTGAAATTTAGATTTGAGTCATTAATAGGACTCCACTTGAGTAACACTTTTTAGTGCTCAAAGGGATAAATTTTTGCTTAGTTTCTATCTTAAAACCCTATATTCGCTAGGCTTTGTTAAATTAGTCTCTGAACACTTAGATATAAATGGGGAAAGGCTAAAGAGTAGGCAGCGGAGACCACCCTCTTGGTGTCTCTCAGGCTGCTTGAGCGGTCTTGAGACAGCTCAAGTGGTCCTGGGGTCACTCAAGCGATCCCTACTATATTGCCTTGGTTTGAATTCTTTTTTCATTCCAACAACCTTCGCCCTCCCACTGCTTGAGTGGTCGTTCATGAATTTGTGTTGTTTTGGTCCCTAAAACAAATGATGAGAGTATAATATTACATGTTATAGGCCTCATAACATTCATCTTAGGCATGCTAGTTACTTAGTTCCTTTATTTTAATTTAGTTTTGTATTTTAGGGAGAAAATTGGTGTTTGCAGCTAGTGGAAAAACAAGGTTTGCACACGTTTCAGTGCTACAGAGGACTTGGGGGATGATTTAGGAGATCCAGGAGTTAAGCCAAGAGCACTGCAAGTATAATTGAAGGAAAAGTATGTTTTACCGGTAGGTCTTCTACTGGTAGAACTAGAGGAGGAAAATGGTTTCTACCATTATAAGCTCATTCCTACTGGGAGAAATAAAACAGAGACTTGTTCTACTGGTAGGTTGAGACTCGTCTCCCGATAGGTTTGAAACTGAATGGTGTTCTACTAGTAGAACAGAAAAGCATCCAGTTCATGTAAAATAATGAACATTTCTATTGGTAGGTTGTTTTGTGATATCTACTAGTAGAATACTGTAATTCTACTACGAAGACTCCTAAGGAAAGTAATCTGTTGAGTTATTTTAAAGACTATGATTAATGGATAAAAGAGAGGATTTTCAGCAGTGAATCTCTTATAAATACCCAAGCCTAGCCAAGAGGGGGGGGGGGGGATCGGTTCTTTCATCTTAAAATTCACCACAACACCGTTCTTCTCTCCTATGTTTTATAATTAGTTTTCCTTCTTTCAAGAGTTTTTCTCCATTGTTTAAATTACAAGCTTTGTTCAAGTTCAAGTTCTTTAATTCTTGCAACGTTATTGCTTTCAAGTCTTCCTTTGTGGATAATTTGCATTCTTGTAATTCAATTCGATGTATTTACTTTTACTTGTAATTTCAATTCTCATGTTATCTACTTTCAATTACAATGATGCTTTCTTCAATTACTTTAATTTTCAATTCTATAATGAGTGAGTAGTCATACTCTAATTTGATCAAATGAGTGAGTCTCATTCGTCAATGGGGATTTTGACCTAGCTAGGGTTTTTCCAATTATTCAGTTATTTGGGTTATTGAATGATTAAAGTTGAAAACATTTTTGATTTGTATATCTTTTCACTTACCTATAGACAGTTAAGTCTAGCACGGGTAATTCTTAGAATCACTGCAAGCTAAGTGAATGTAATTCTTTCAGAATTAAATCAATTGACTTGAATAAACATTTGTTATTTACAATTGGGTGTTAATTGAATATTTTCCATTTGAGTGCGTTGAGTACAATCTCAAGTGAGTTATAGAAATTGGATCAAAGTACTTGTTCATAGTGAGATGAACTCTACTAATTAACCTGTATTTTCTTTAATTGTTAATTTTTAGTCAATAATTTGTACAACCAAATCCTGAAAAATTCAATTTTTTTTATTTTCTTTTGCTTATCACCCTTTGAACCAAATGTTTTCTTTGAGGAGACAATCTCGATAATCGATCTAGTTACAAACATGATAACTTTCCTGCGCTTAAAAATCTTTGATAATTTAACCTACTTCAAAGAGAGTAAGCATTTTTGGCGTTGTTGTTGGGGAAGGCATTATTGATTCAAGAGGTGATTCAGACGACCGTAAAGTAAGTCTTGTGATTCATATCACGAGCTCAGGTGCGTCCTCCACTGTACTTTATTTTTAGTTTCTTGCTTTTGTTTATAGTTTTAATTTCTTTTATATGTGGGCACGAGACTCCATTCGCAATAGACTTATACAACTTGACCCCACAAACATTATTGACAAAGAAGGTTTAAATAATGAGAATCCACCGAATGTTGGCAACTAGGGGAATAATTTTCCACTAGTTCCTCCTATTTGCAATCTTGGGAATGTTGGAGGTAATCTCTCACCAGTTCCTCTTGTAAGGATGATGAGAGAATACCTCTAACCCACTCACCGTTCTGCACCCTCAAGTATACTTTTACTGGTGCAAGCACAAAATTTTATAATAAAACTTGGAATGCTCCAGCTAATTCCGCAATTCCATTGTTTGGATAGGAAAAATCCCTACCTCCATATCAAGGAGTTTGAGGAGGTGGTTAGCACATTTCTTGAGGAAAACGTGCGTGAAGAAGTAGCAAGAATGAAATTATTTTTATTCTCTCTAAAAAAACATGACAAAAACTTGGCTCAACTATCTTAAACCTCGAACCATGGCTGCTTGGGCTAATTTACAAAAAGGGTTCTTGAAGAAATTTTTCCCAGTCCATAGAACAATTGCTTTAAAGAAGCAAACTCAAAATTTTTATGAAAAATCTAATGAATAGTTCTATAAATGCTAG